ACTCCCAACGACTGCCATAACAGACAATGAAAGAAGCAAAGAAGGAACAAACCAATGATGCTCAGAGCAAATCTCTCAAGGAGAACGGTATTGCCCGAGGACTTATTTTAAATCCCCCTTGAACCTGGTTTAGCCACAAGCATCTCACTTCCTTTTTGGATCATTGCAAGATACTATGAGAAGGCCCTGCCATGGGGCCCGCAGAGGATGACAGATGAGCCCAGCCAGGCCCTCTTGGCAAGGCCTGGTCCCATTTCATCAGTCCCTGCCCCTGGTCCTGCCAAGGCCCTGCCTTGCCTTGTCCTTTCCCCTCTGCCCTCCTCCATCAAGTCAAATCCTGGATCTCAAAAACCCTGCTTTAATATATATAGTCAAGATGCAGCGCCAGCATCCCATATGGGCACCAGCTGCTCCACTTTCTATTCAGCTCCTTGTTAATGGCCTGGGAAAGCAGAGGAGGATGGTCCAAATCCTTGGGCCCCTGCCACACACATGGGAGACCCGGAGGAAGCTCCTGGCTCCTGGCTTCAACCTAGCTCAGCCTGGGCCATTATAGCCATTTGGGGACTGAACCAGCAGGTCCAAGATCTCTTTCTCTCTCTTTCTCTCTCTCTCTCTCTCTCTCTCTCTCTCTCCTTCTCTCTGTGTAAACTCTGCCTTGTAGCCACAGGGAACTGTTTCCAGGACCCCAGTGTATACAAAAATTTTTCTGAAGCTCAAGTCCCTTGTATAGAAAGACACAGTGTGAGCACATGAGCTCCACACAGCTTCCTGTATACTGTATACTCAGAAATGGAGTTGCCGGGGCTGATGTCTGTGGTGCCGTGCATGAAGCCACTGCTTGCAATGCCAGCATCCCATATCAGAGCTCCAGCTTCAGTCCCAGCTGCTCCACTTCCAGCACAGCTCCCTGCTAATGTGTGTGGGAAGGCGGCCGAGGACGGCCCGAGTATTTGGGCTCCTGCCACCCACATGGGAGATGAGGATGGAGTTCCTGGTTCTTGGCTTCAGCCTGGCCCAGCCCTGGTTGTTGTGGGCCATCTGGGGAGTGAACCAGGGGCTGGAAGATCTCTCTTTCTCTCCATCACTCTGCCTTCTAAATGAATCAAATATTTAAGAGAGAGAGAGGGAGGGAGGGGGAGAGAGAAAGAGAGGAAGGAAGAAAAGAAGGGAGGGAGGGAGGGAGGGGATTGCCAGGTTGTGGAGAAGTCACACATCCACTCACTGTGACATAGCTGGGTCAGGGGTGTGGGACCTGCCTTATCTTCTGAGAGTCTGCATACCTTCCACAACTTGTGAATGACTTGTTCACTGCCTTTGTTGAGCTTGCATTGTTTTTTTGTTTTGTTTTGTTTTTTGTTTTTTGACAGGTAGAATTACAGACAGTGAGAGAGAGAGGCAGAGAGAAAGGTCTTCCTTCTGTTGGTTCATTCCCCTAATGGCCGCTACGGCCAGTGCGCTGCGCCAATCCGAAGCCAGGAGCCAGGTGCTTCTTCCTGGTCGCCCTTGCGGGTGCAGGACCCAAACACTTGGGCCATCCTCCACTGCCCTCCCGGGCCACAGCAGAGAGCTGGACTGGAAGAGGAGCAACCGGGACTAGAACCATATGGGATGCTGGCGCTGCAAGCACAGGATTAACCAAGTGAACCACAGCGCCGGCCCGAGCTTGCATTGTTTCAAACTCTGCCTTTTATGGGAAATTATTTTGTTAAAAAAAAAAAAAAAAGTTTCCCTACTCCTCTACAGTCACCACTGTGACACCCTGGACTTTTGAGAATGTCCAAGTCTGCAGAGAGGCTGACGTGCTGGCGTGGCGCAGGGTCACACTCCCCTGCCTGGAAACCCTGGACAGATGCCTGCTGCCTGACTGTGGAGCTTCCTCTCACACCATGTTGACCTGCACAGGTTTTCTGAACCAGAGAAAGTTTGTCATCCTAATGCTTTATCCCTAAATACGTCAATTTCCCTTTCAAAAAATAAAGATGTTTTTCAATAAAAATCACTATTGCTATCACCCCAGTGATTCCATAATATATAATATACCACCCACTTTAAAATGTCCTTCATTTTCCCAAAAATGTCTTATAGTGTTCCCCAGCCACCACCAAATCTTATTTAATGAGAACAACCTCTGCCATTTGTTCTTTCATGGTGTTGATTTTTTTTTTTTTTTTGGAAACGTACAGGATCTTCAAAAAGTTCGTGAAAATGTGCATTATGAAAAAACTATGCATGGCTTTCAAAAATTTGCAACAAAATAAACTTATTTTTAACTTGCTAAGACTTCCGCGAACAGAGTTTTGTTTGAGGTCCTAACAAGGATAAGACATCAGTTTGAAAAGAACCCCCATCAGAACAACAGGTTAACTTACCCTGTGTCTCCGTATTGTGATTGACAAGAGTGACGATTAACAGCAGACGGTAACCACCACCACAGACATCCCAGCTGGTTCAGCCTACACAATTCTCACCGAAATTAAAGTGGAGCAAACATCATTTGCTGCCAAAACTCTTTCTACCACATCTGCTGCAGACAAGAGCAGAGATTTCAATGGGCAGGTTAAACAAGTGAGAGTAGGATTCTGAAGCATATCTGTGATGAAGTGGAACTGGAGATGAAGCCTGGCTTTACCCATACTATCCCAATGACAAAGCACAATCAAAGCACTGACTACCAAGAGGCAGAAGTGGTTTGGTCACAGCAAAAGCAGACCAGTCAAGAGCAAGGTCATGGTGAGAGTGGTTTTTGGGGATGCTCAAGGCATTTTTGCTGGTTGACTTTCTAGAAGCCAAAGAACAATGACATCTACTCATTGGAAGAGTGTTGAGAGAAAGTAAGCCAAAGCTTTAGCCAAAAAAAAAAAAAAAAAAAAAAACAGGAAATCTTCAGGAGAGAATCCTTCTCCACCATGACCATGTTCCTGCTCCTTCCTCTCATCCAACAAGGGCAATTTTGTAAGAGCTTCAATGGGAAATCATTGGGCATCCTTACAACCCTGATGTGGTGCCTTCTCCCTCCTTTGTGTTTCCTAATTTTACAAAATCTTTCAAGGATACTCATGTTTCTTCAGTTGAGAATGCAAGAGAGAGGGAGGAAGGGAGAGAGGGAGGAGACACAGCATTGACCTGGCTAACTTCTTTAGAGAGGAACTAGATGGCTGCTGTCCTCACTAACAGGCGTGTCTTGAACTTGATGGAACTGGTGCTGAGAAACAAAGGCTATCTTTTTAATTTAATCTTTCAACTTCTTTTTCCATGAAAATCCCTTCATACCCAGGCCAGTTATTTCACAGGAAGTTCCACATCCTGGATTTATTTATTTCCTCATAACTAGACTCAACACCATAAGCAAGAATTCTACTGATAGAGCATGTTGATTACTTTTCAATATTGCAGAATGTTCCTTCAAAACAAGGCACCAAATAGATCACCGTTTCCTGCATGCTAGGGGTGGTGTCATCTTCTTCTGCCCACCCAAATATTTCCTTCCTGTTTCCAGCATTCTGGGATCACCAGATCAAGGTTGGGTTTACTGATCTGGACATTTTTTATCGCTTTTCAAATTTTTTACCTGTTGATAGCGGTGGTAGATTGAATTTGTTCCATTCTCCATCATTCTCTGCTGAGAGTTGAAACTGTGAAATGGATCTTTGGGCATTTTCATTTTTGCCAAAGTCCCCCTGCTGCAGATAACTAAACAAACAGAGTTACAGATGTGGTGTAGCTGGTGCTGGAAGGGACCATCCTGGTCCCCCTCTGTGAAATCAAATGACTTTCAAGTGTTTTCTTATCTCCAGAATCACAGTGCCAATTTTGACCCATATCGAAAAATATGTTGTTCAAGGCAAGATTGGGAACTCTTCCTAGTTCTGGCCGCTGACCATTAGTAACATTTATTCAGTGCCTGATACACACTGCATGGCACTCCTGTGTCCAATCCCCTATCTTCACAGCAACCCTGTGAATGTGGTGATGTTATTGTCTCATTTTATTGAATGAAAAATTGAGGCTTAGGGCATCAAGTTAAGCCATCATTTGGAACACCAGCGTCCCAAATCAGAGTGCCAGTTCAAGTCCCAGCTTCTCCACTTCCAATCCAGTCCCCTGCTAAATCACCTAGGAAGGCAGCAGAATGTGGCCCAAGTACTTGGGGCCCTTCCACTCATATGGGAGACCCAGGTGGAGCTCCAGGCTCCTGGCTTCAGCCTGGCCTAGGCCTGACCATTGTGGCCATTTGGGGAGTGAACTGGCAGATGGAAGACCTCTTTCTCTTTCTGTCTTTCCCTGTCTCTTTCTGAAACTCTGCCTTTTAAATAAAATAAATCTTAAAAAAAAAACCTGGAGCTTATAATTATTGTTACTTAACCTTATTTGTCAGAGCACACCCTTATTACTTAGAGACAAGAAAATCCATTTTTTGTGTGTGTGATGGGCAGAGTTGGGGCAGGGGTCTGTGTTGTGCACTTCAAAAAATGTTGGCACCAACCCTGGCCTCTGGCTGGGAAGGTGGCCAGTCCTGGCACGCAGGAGAATGGGTGCAAGGTTTGATGGATTTGCTGAGAGATGTGGAGGCTGTGTTTCTGTTGTGTCTCAAGTCTTGCATGTAAACATGCAGAAGCATTGAGAAACGTCATCCTTCTCAAAGCATTATAGCACCGCCTGAGTACCATGAGTAAAACGACTATCAGTGAAATCCAACAAAAGGACTTGGCTGAAGGACTAAGTATGAACAGCTTGCTTCTATCTGGTATGGTGCTGCTAGTGCCTGAACCCTGGCCATCATCCACATGCATTCGTCACACTTAACCAAAATCCCACAAATGCGTGACATTCAGCTACATGCTCCAAGGAACAGCTTTTCTCTCTCCATAGCAGACTCTGAGCTGTGTGCACTGCATTTGGAATAAACAGGCAACACAATGTTTCTTGGTAACTGGGCTAACGATACTGTCTCCTTAGTAATGTGCATGGTTTAAATGAATGGCGTTTTGGACTTTGCCGATGCTTTAGCATTTAATTGGTCTACTTTTGTGGTGGATTTTTCCATAGCACAGGTTATGCCTTTGTAGGGTTCAGGTCTGAGGAAATCGCCAAGATAGTCCCGGAAACAACAACAAGCTGCCTTCACAGAGAGAGACTCCTGATGTGGAAGTGTCCTTCGCTCACCTGAGGGGCTGCCTGGTCATGGTGGGGGCGGGTGTGTGACCATTACAGAAAAGACAGCCACCTGGACCTCCTACTTTATCTCTGGGAATATTCCAGAAAGTCTTAAGAAACCAAAGATTGGGGCTGGCGCAGTGGCTGCCTGTGGCACCAGCATCCCATTTGGGTGCCGGTGCTAGTCCTGGCTTCTCCTCTTCCAATCCAGCCCTCTGCTATTGCCTGGGAAAGCAGTGGAAAATGGCTCAAGTTCTTGGGCCCCTGCACCCGTATGGGAGACCAGAAGAAGCTCCTGGATCCTGGCTTCAGATCGGCACAGCTCCAGCCATTGCAGCCATTTGGGGAGTGAACCAACGGACGGAAGACCTTTCTCTCCGTCTCTCCCTCTCACTGTCTGTAACTCTACCTCTCAAATAAATAAATAAAATCTTTTTAAAAAAATTAAAAAGAAACCAAAGATTTAGGCCATTTTCCAGGCTTATTGGGTACCTTTTATTTTATTTATTATTTATTTATTTAAAGGCAGAGAGAGCACAAGAGATCATCCATCTGTTGGTTCATTCTTCACATGCCCACAACAGCTGGGGCTAAGCCAGGCCAAAGCCAGGAGGCAAGAACTCCATCGGGGTCTCTCACATTGGCGGCAGGGACTCAACTACTTGAGCCATTGCCTGCTGCCTCCCAGGGTCCGCATTAGCAAGAAGCTGGAATCTGGAATGGAGCCAGGACTCAAACCCAGGCACCATGTATGGGATGTGGGCTTCCCAGGTGGCGTCTTCACCACTGTGCCACACACCCACCCCCTAACTGGAATTTTTTAACTTTCCAGCATAAGGACAAGTGTTTACAGAGGTAGACGTAGATGGGTCACTTTGGGGGTCTGTGGGAACAGCAGGTACCCCATCCTTCCAGGCGGTGGAAGGCATCCCTGAGGAAGCATCACGTAAATTCAAACCTGAAGACAGAAAAGGAGTGGGCCAGGGGAAGGGGACAGCGGTGCAGGCTGAGGTCATTCCTGGCTGAGAAGACTGCAAGTGCCAGTGACAAGTGACTGACAGTGCTGGACTCTGGGGAATCTGAGGAGAAGTGGCAGAAGAAATAGGCTACATGGCATGCTGTTGGAGACTATGTAGGTCAGGAGGTTAGAATTGATTATGAAGGGGCTGGCATTGTGGCATAGTGAGTTAAGCATCCACCTGTGGTGCTAGCATCCCTTATGGGTGCAGGTTCAAGTCTTGGCTGCTCCAGTTCAGATCCAGCTCCCTGCTAATGGCCTGGAAAGGCACTGGAAGATGGCCCAAGTGCTTGGGCCCCTGGACCCACATGGGAGACCTGGAAGAAGCTTCTGTCTCCTGGCTTCAGATCAGCCCAGCTCTGGCCATTGTGGCCATTTGGAGAGTGGACCAGTGGATGGAAGACCTCTCTGTCTGTAACTCTGCCTCTCAAGTAAATAAATAAATCTTAAAAAAAAAAAAAAAAAGAATTGATGGTGAGGACAGCATGGAGTCCCCAGTGGGTTCTAGCTAGATATGATGTCACCACCCCTCTGTGGAGAGCTACGTGTGTGGCCTCCATGTGTCTGTGGTAGAGGTGGCCAGCCCAAGGCCACCAAGATCTGCCATGGCAGCTGACAGGATGGCCTGAGTAGCATCTGGATCCCAGTTCCCCTCATCATGAGACAGAAGCCCTAGAGCCTGGGTGACGTCATGGCTTCATTCCCACATTCAAAGACCAGCTGGGCAGGTGACCTAAAAGGTGTTGACCACACGCAGCGTGCTTGTGCTGCGTCTGGCTTGTGGAAGACAGCAGCGAGGGTTCTGAGCTGTGGAGTCTGGTGCTTCAAGCATGAGTCATCTGTCACTGCCGAAAGTTGGTCCCATCGTCTTGGTTACGACGTAAGAGATGGCACTGCAGATTCTAAACTGAACGTTGTAATTCCTACCACTGGCACGGAAACTCATTTTTCTTTCTGAAACATGGAAAGAAAGCAGTGAAAAGATGAGTCAACAAAGACTGACACAAAATAGAAGATTCGAGCAGCAATTTTTTAAAAAATCACCCAAGAAGATGACAGTTTAAGGAAGGCCCATGGTAAGTTTCCATCTGTAGGCAATACTCCTTCATCAATGAAGCATGGCTGCTGTTGGAGGAATGGAGAGAACTGGCCCTCCCCATCCACAATGCACACTTTCAAAAAGTTCAGGGAAATCTGTTCTATGAAACTGTGTGTGGGTTTGAATGTTTTGCATCGGCATAAATTTATTTCTTAATTCCATTTTTTCACAGCCTCACACACTCTGGACATAGAGTAGGCACCTGCCCAACGTGCCGTCCCTGCAAAGGGATCTGACGTCACCATCCATTAACTACTCACACGTTCACAAGGATAGAAGTTTACTCCTCATTTCTCTACCAAAGAGCAAGATGTAACCACACGGTCTGCAGTGACTCCTGCCAGGAAACCATTAGACTTCTGAATGATCGTGCTCCTTCAAAACCTGACAGAGGAGCAAGCAGATGAAAAAGCAAAAGACAAACTCCTGCCTTCGTCACCGTTCCCTGGGAGGAATTCGATCTTCTGCAGCCAGATGACTCACCCGAGACACATATCAGGGATGATGAAGTCCTGATGTGAGCACAGGGTGTGCCTGACGTGGCTCTCCAAGCTCGTGGAGCAGGGATGACCCAATAAGCTGGCTTCCGCGTGCTCTCACTCTTGGCAAGCAAGCCTCACTGGAGGTTTCTCAGGTTCTCAAGCCCAGCACATTTTTCCCTTCCATTCTTCTCTTAAAGAGTGATATCACTGAGATCACACCTACAGAGGGTGGTTATGTTGGAGAATGTCCCTGTGCTTAGGAGGTGTGTGTTAAAAGGTTCAGGGGGAAGTGGCATGCTGTCTGTAGCTGGTTTTCCAGTGGTTCCCATGCACTCACATGCATGCACACAGATGCACACACGATGCTGAATGTTAACAAATATTGGCTCTTGGTGAAGCAAAAATGGAAGTTCATTGTACTTTTTTCAAATTTTCTGTAGAATTGGAATTTTTCAGAATTAAATTTTCCGGGGGGTGGGTGGGGGTGGAGGAACCAAAGCACTTAAAATTTCAGCCCACAATTCCATGATTATCTCCATCCAATGGAGCTGGGCTTAGGGTCCATCCTCCTGTGTCTCCCTAGACCACCCATCTTCTAGAGTCTTCCATGGCTGCAACCTCTGAGAAATCAAAACACAGGTCGTGAGACAGAGTCTCCAATCCCATTAGGCTCTGGTCCCCTCTGCACCCCAGCTGGGGCTTCCTGGCTGTTTTAGCATGTTGTCCTAGTTTGGTTAGGGCCAACGGGTTCACGCCCGTGGGCACTGGCCTGGGACAGCAAGGCTAACAGCCCCATCTAGTGGTGGGACAGAAGCAGAAGGTGCCCCCTCCCAGGGGTCTGGTTTCTACCCACCCACCTGTGGCTCTCCCTGCCCTGGGTCCTCTCACCAGTGTGAGAGGGTCTGGAGGCAGACAGCAGGTAGCAGGTGTCCAGCAAATACCTGATGAATGCATGGACAATTGCATTCAAATGGAGATGAGAGACATACCATCACTATAGTTTTGAGTAAGCTAGTTAACATCTCAGGTTTTTTTATCTGAAAACTGGGACTAATAACAATATCTCAGGGGCTGTGCTGAGAAAGAGAGAGAGAGGAAGAGAGAGAGAGAGATCCCAGAACAGTAAACACAAGGCAAAAGGCAGCCATTCTTCAGCTGTGGTTGTCCTAAACTAAATGGAGGGGGGTCAGAGCAACCAGGCAGTCCCCCAGAGAAGTCATCTTATGCAAAATTTTTTGCAGGGTCCCTAGGGACAGAAGTCGGGAGGAGGTAGGTGGACAGCAAGGTGTCTGTGCTTTATTTTCCTTTTTATATTCATTTAGTTACTGATCTGAAAGGCAGACAGGAAGAGAGGGACAGAGACAGAGATTGATTCCATCTGCTGTTTCACTCCCTCAAATGCCTGTAACAGTTGGGGTTAGGCCAGGCTGAATCCAGGAGCCAAGAACTCCATTAAGGTCTGTGAAACGGGTGACAGGAACCCAAGTACTTGAGCCAATACCTACTACCTCCCAGAGTGCACATGATCAGGAAGCTGGAATTGGAAGCAGAGTCAGGACTTAAACACGGCACTCCCATATGGGACAGGGGAGTCCCAGGGGGTGTCTTACCACAGCAGTGAATGCCCGTCCTCTCTGCACTATTTTCAAGGACCAGGGGTCAGGAGACAAGAGAGACTCAGAGTAGGGGAGATGGGGCTTCTCCCCACTTCCACACCAAACCCAGTAAGGTGCCATGGGGCAGAAGGAGGTTGCTGCACAAGGCAACGATAGCTGGGGTGAGCTGCCAGCTCAGGTGCAGACAGCACTGACCCCAGAGAGCTGTGTGTGGCCCAGGGAGAGGCTGAGAGGCTCAGCAAGGGGGGCAAATGCCCTCCGTGGGGGGACTCCAACCATGACAGCTGGGACCAGGCTCCCCCACCCCCAGGCTGGGGAGGGCTGGAACAGTCAGTTCCACAGGCTTTTGTCAATGACGCACACAAATGTAGAAAGTGTGGCAGCCAAAATTGTGAAGAGTCTCCCCACGCCAGCAGAGTCACTCCACACTGGAGGTAACAAAACTAGGATAGGAAAATGGTCCCGTGGGCAGAACACCAGGCTGAAGCCAGCAAAGACCACATTCGGCAGGGACACGTGGAAAAGCCAAGACTCAGCTCCTTGGACGTAGTGAGAGAGAAGTGCTGGGAACAGACAAGGGGTTACTTTTTCTCAAGTTCTGGGTCTTCCCTTGCTGGGAATTGGCAGTGGTGTGTCCCCAGGGGTTCAGGTGTGGGAACATTGGCCCTCAACGTGGTGGTGTTGGGAGGTGGTGGAGCCTTTAAGAGGTGGGGCTTGGGGCAAGATAATTAGGTCATGGGGGCTGCACTGCCTGCAGAAGGGATTAATGTAGTTCCCAGGGGCCCTGGTCAGTTCCTGCTTGAGTGAGTTGTTTAAAAAAAGAGAGAACCTGGGGCAGGGAGCTGGATTGGAAGAGGAGCAGCCTGGAATTGAACTAGCGTCCACACAGGATGCCTGCACTGCAGGCACTGGCTTAACCTGCTATGCCACAGCACTGACCCCAGCAGCAAGTAATTCCATTGGCTTTCCTACATGAGTGGCAGGAACCCAACTATTTAAGCCATCCTCTGCTTGCCTTTCAGGATGTCCATCAGCAGGAAGCCAGATTAGAAGCATGGAGTAGCCAGGACTTGAACCAAGGACTCCAGTACAGGATGTGGGTCTCCCAAGTATTGGCATAATCCACTGCACCACAACACCTGCGCTTCCATGGGATTTGCAAAGAATTAGCGTATATAGTAGGCAGCCTACGGAGATGTTCCCATCTTTCCACGGGGTGCTCTGCAGCAAAGCTTGAGCAGCCAAATAAATTTGGGAAACTCTGGCTCCATCCCACTTTCAGAGACTCACCACGTATCTTGGTATTCTGAAGGCTCTGAGAAGTCCTGCAGTAGAGAAATCTGACAGTTCTCCACATGTTTTCTGCGTTGGCAGCAGAAAATGTTAATAGGGTCATAGGGCTGTGTTTGTGCCACAGAACTAGTGTTCTACCTGCTAACATTGGGAAAGTCCAACCCAGGCTACAAAAGCTGATCTTCATGGACTGAGCTTCATAACCTGTGATTTCATCATTAGAATTCTGCTCGGGGCTGGCATTGTGGCTCAGTGCATTGAGTCACTGCTGGAGACGCCGCTAGTTCAAGCCCTGGCTGCTCCACTTCTGATCCAGCTCCCTACTGATGTGCTTAGGAAAGCATTGGAAAAAGGCCCAAGTACGTGGGTCCCTGCCACCTGTGTGGGTGACCCGGATGGAGTTCCCAGCTCCTGGCTTCAGCCTGGTCCAGCTGCAGCTGTTTCAGTCATTTAGGGAATGAACCAGAAAATGGATGATATCTCTCCCCCCCTCCCTCTCTCTGTAACACTTAGGTTATACTGTGTTTCATAACATGTGGTATGGGAATTAATTTGACCTTGTGTTTTTCAAGGGAGCTGCCAGAAAGTTCAAAATTGCATGTGTGATTCCCATTTTGTGTCCACCGGCCAACATTCTCCTCTCCCTCCTCTCATAACCTAGCACATAGTAGGAGCTTCATAATAGAGTCACTTTTGAGACAAATCCGGATCCATGTCTTTCCGTTTACTTATTTTCATTTGAGACACACAGAGAGAGCGCCATCTGCTGGTCACTTCACTAAATGCTCACAGCTGCCCTAGGTGGGGATCGGCCATCACTGCTGCCTTCCAAGGAAGGTGCAGGCAGCCATGGCACTCCAATATGGGACACTGGCCTAGGCATAGCCTAGGCACAGCCTCCTAACCTCTAGGCTAAATGCCCACCCTAGATCAATGTCTTGATTTCTGAGAACATACTCAGCCCCACCAACCTCATCCACCTCAGCTTTAGCACAGGGAATTGCAAATGGCAAGTAAAAACTCACAGACCAGGCTGCTGGGTGCATTTGGGCATAGTCCTGAGAATGCTGGGCAAGGCATAAGAGACAGACACAGCGAGAGAAAGAGAGGAGAGCAGCCTCCCGCGGGAGAAGTGTGCAATGCTGGGGGCTTGAAGGAGCCCAAATCAAAGCTGGCCCAGCCTGCCCCTATGGACAGTCCCTCCCTCATGCAGCAGATACACCACGCAGGCGCCCAGCACCTGCAGCCTCAAGCAAGTAAACTGCTCACCCACAGCTGTCGCTCAAGGAGAAGTCATGGTTTCCTTCTTGTGTTCCATTCCAATGCCCCTACCCTCCCACCCTCGCTACCTGCACCGTTAGGGTTAGCCCAACACGAGCTGGTGGCCACCAGAGCCACGGCAGCAGTGTGTGCTGGCTTCCACTGCGGACACTTCTGCCACGGCAGGTTTCTACAATCGCTTCC